GGAAAGAACAGTTGCCTCATCGACAACCCAAAGCGAGTTAGATTCGATGATGTATGGGATAAAAGAATTGATTTGGTTAAGTGAAATGTTGACTGAAACAGGTGTATGCAATGATCATTGTAAAGAATTGAAGTGTGATAATTTAAACGCTGTAAAATTAGCGAACGGCGGTAATTTCAAAACAAGAACAAAATTGTTGAATAGGAAATGTCATAAGCAAAATCAAACTAAATTAAAATTAAAGAGAATTGATGGAAGCTCTGAAGTTGCAGAGTTATTTTCAAAAGTGAGAGGAATAACTGCTGAATCTATCGTTCTAGGCCCACCCTCGGTCCTGACAACCACCCTCTGTCAATCATGGGCTTCAAAAGATCGTGCATCGCACAGACAGTTAGTTAGAAAGTATCCATCAGTCAAACAGTATCAAACTAAGAAGCAATTAGTCCAGAACAGTCAACCAGTCAGTATCATTCCAACAATCAGCTGGTCAGCAAACATCAGCACACGTACATCAGTACACATCGAGCAGTCTGCACAGACAGTCTGCATCATCAAGTACTAGATAAGCTTTGTGGATAGTCAATCCCGTAGATTGACTATTTGCTATATAATCAAATCGGGCACCTACAACTCATAACGTGTGGCAAACGTCCAAGCATTGGACAACCGAGCGGAAGACAGCCGAACCATTTGGTCCTTCAACCCGTCTACAGCACAGTTGGCCTTACAATCCAACAACGTGCCTGCCACGCGAACTAAGCACCAGATTGGGTCCGTAACACACAATATATTCTCAAAATGATCACAGATTCAGACACAATAACGAATGAGCAATTGGATGAGTCTTCTTCTCAAAGTGATTCTCTCAGAGTAGTGGGAGATATTCCTAACTCTTCATCTGGATCCGATCCTAGTCAAAAGAAGGAGCATATGATCGCTGAGGCCAGAAAAACATACGGAGACATTGAAGTGGCCTCTATGCTTCCAGAGTGTGTAGATTAGTCAACAATGAGGACTCTAGTGATGCTCAATATGAGAATCTCTTACGACTACCTAATTCCGGAATATCTGATTCAACTCTTCATACCTCAACCGAAGTCAGTATTAAAAACCCAATCATTCCAGTTTGGTATCCGCATCGAGGAGAAACCACGGCAGAAGGCATACAAACCCGAGAATACTTAAGTTACATACGGTCACTAAAGCAGAAAAGAGATGGAGCAGCATATAACTTTCTTCAAGCCAAGACCTTCGTCCCCCATATTGGATGTGAGATGACAGAAGCATTATGGCGCACCACTGAGCAGATGACCCCTTATCTTAAGCGATACGTGATGGACGAGATTTGTTTAGATTAATCTGACATGATTCTCCATGAGCCTGAAGTCTTGTCCATCTATCTTAAAGGGGTTTCTCGTTGTATTCCTCGTTGTTCCTCGGCAACATCTTCCTTTGAGGATCTAGAATCTAAGTTCACAGCTCTGTCAAATAGGGTCGTAGGCCTTATGGAAGTATCGCGTTTCATGAGGATGAGACACTAAGGTCTGCGAACCAATTGACCTCTGTTTCTAAGGGAGTTTCTTCTCTTCAGGCCGTCGTGAAGACGTGGAATTATGCGACGGATTAAGACCTAAGGACTATCAGTGGTTTCGAGCTGAATTCCCAATCCGATAGACCCAAAGAATAAATAAAACCAATACTTTTGATGTTTTATTTGGTTTAGTTATTGTATTTGTTGGTCTTTATTTTCTTATTAAAGTATTTCGACGTGAGCATCGACTTCGCTTAGTTGAAAATGGCGACATGTAACGCACGTCGACTCAGAAGAAGCCCAAGTGTCTCAAATCGTACGCGGTTTGATGACCAAATTAACAGGCTCGTGACCACGAAGGTGCGAGCAATTGCACGCGACCACCGACTTACAGTCGATCCCAGACCGCCTGTATTGAGTCTTCAACCCTGGAACAATGTTGTTATTTTGGATAAGTTTCCAGTTCCTGAAGATCAATGGATAAAGAGTGCGGATTTGGTATTATTAGTGTGAATGCAAGTGTGCGAGGTCTTCTCGAAAGAGAGATTCGGGAGGTTGCACATGTTTATGGACAACCTGGACGCTGCCAGAATGATTAGAAACTAATAGAGGGCATTATTACCATCTACCCAAAGATGGTTTACAAGAAAAATGAAGATTGGTTACTGTAAAAAGATAATGTCCGAAGGATCATGTTAGGTGTGGCGGTTTTGGACCAATTACCCCTGAAGACCATAATAAATAGGCCTATTGGAGTCCTCTTGTAACATTCTCTTATATAGAGGCATGTCGGACCAAGTCGGAGAACTCGGACTGGGATCCACTTCCTGAGGAATATTTTCCTGAAGGAGCCAAGCCTACAGTGAATCTGCTTGGTTACAGAAACACGGAACGTGTGCACTCCGAAGCTGTAAATATTACTGACAAGGTACTTGACTCAACGAACAATAACAATAAGCTGATTTATTATAGGGTTCCTTGGGAGAAATGCGTGACGCTGGCAAGACGCTGAGCTCATTGATAGCTGCTTGCCCGCAATTACCCAACTATTTTCTGACGGTCACTAAAATTCATAGATATCCATAAAAACTAAGCAATAAGAGAATAGATGTTAACCAAATAAGTAAATATTAGTAATAAAATTGTCAATTTTATAAAACAAACTCATCTTTTTGATCCAATATTTTAACAGCGAGACTTACTCTGTGATCGACGAGTATACTCGTCATCGCTCGATTTTCACGACACATGTGGGTGCGCGCTCTCAAAAGGGGGCACCGTAGCTAACAGGTTAATATAATTCTTAAGATTGGTATTAATTAATGTATTAACTTTAAAATAACGTAAGAATGTGCGAAATATTGAAATAACATCGTTGACTTTGTAGCAGTAAATCCTTGAATTGTTATTTTTCTGTAACGAAGCAAATTATCGAGTGTAAAAGGTTAAAAGAAAAATCGGGAAATTAACTGACCAGAGCGATTATACCAAACACAGGATTCTTAATGAAAAATTAAAAAACGATTATTTAGACTGTTTGTACAGTTAGTGCTAAATGACAAAATTGGCAAATTCGCATTTTCGAGTTGATCACTATTTTTGAAACAGTGGAGATTGATGGATTTAATTTACTCGTTGATTGCATACTGCGATAAAATAAATATTTTTACACTACGAATTACATATAGATACGCGTAAAAGGAATTTCAAGCATATTCTACGATGATTGAGTTTTATGGATCTTAATATTAATTCATAATGTTTGATTTCTAAGCCATCTATGTTTCAACTTCACTGTCTGGCTGTTTCGTCGTGTTTTTAGTCTTTTACTCGTGTTACTACGTTCCTGATTCAACGTAAATGAGAAAAACGGATTAAGAGGAAGAACTTTGCAATTTGTTGCGCGACGTTCAACAAGGGATGAAGAACTCTAAAACGAATAATTTGTATTACTTGTTTTTAGTTTTCAGCTTATTTCCTACGCTAATGGTTCTTATATTTATTAAACGTTTGTAAAATCTCTATCAGATAATCTACTGTCCCATAAATATATATTTAACTATTAATAAACAGAAATGACAGGTATAAAATGATACAACATTTTATCTTTGTAATAAATGAAAATGGTGTAAAATAAGTAAGATAATTTTAAACCTAATAAATAAAAGTTTTAAACTGTATTTAATCCATATCAATACAATAATTATAATAAAAGTTAATAATTGGATTTAATATTTCAGGTTTAACGAAAAAGTAATCGTTTCTTATGCTATTTTTATACGTAATGTTAAACCATTGTTTAAAATTTTTAATTAATTGATTAAAAGTCGATATTTAAGGGTAAAAATTTTACCTCTAAGAAATCTTTATCTTGGTTTTGTTTTTAACTAAAAGTACTCGTCAAACGAATTCAGAAATACCATTTTTAATATTAGACATCTACCAATTCAAAAGTTATTGGCGTATAAAGATTAGAAAAATTTGACAGTTTTCAATTTATAAATTATACTTGCTATGTCATCTGTTTTGCGTCTATTGCTGAATTGTGTCACCCCATTACTACTTATCACATAATGTACAGGAACCGCTTTTCAATTATGCAAAATGAATTTGCTATCTTAACAAAATTCCAAATTATCTGTCGTTATCAATTTCTAAACTGTTATTCGATATTTTTCATTAGGATATATATCATCATACATATCATATACACATCATCTTAGGTCTGCGCATGAAATTTCAGAATATTCATTTCAAATTTATTTTTCGTTCATGTAGCATTTAAAAAATTTGTGTCTACAGAGATCACAAATACATTAAGAAATAAAATTATTTCAATTCAATATTATTTGTGTCGTTATAAATTTTTTATTTCTTTTGTGATTGTTATCGATGTGATTGAAAAATAGCATTTCTTAAATTTGATAAAGACTTAGAAAGGTTCGGTAATAAAAAAATATTAAATTGGACAAGTTATAGACTATGAAGCCTTGCACTGTAATCTACTTTTCACAGCGAAGATTTGCATGGAACAAGAAATTTTTCTTCATAAATATTACATGTCTTGGCTTTCTTATCTTAGTCGAGAGCATAAACATATTTAATTAACATAGACGAAAAAGTGACACGAGTGACTTTCTCTACGAAGAATTTGATAATTATTTGACACCTTAATACAATGATATTTATAAATATTTTGATATAACATTTAACGATAATATTTCATATTTTGAATATTATTATTTTAGTATGATAAATTATTAACATTTGATTACACAACAACAACAATATTTCATACGAAGTAAAACCCACGAAAATCGCTATAATGTGTAAAAGCATAGCACAAAAATAGTATACGATGAATGTACCAAACTCGGTTATCATGCTTCACCGACTACAGTGCACTAAATTATACACGAATTATACAAACGAGTATATTCTGAAATATTACCTTGCAAACTTTTGGACTATGGTTGGGTACAACGAGCCTCACGTTCTACTTCTGGTAACGCAAGGCGCGCAAAAGAAGATCAGTAGCACACCACCGCCAAGGATCAAAGCGATCATAGCCAAGATCGTCCACGCAGTGGAGGCCGAGGTCACACGAGTAGATAGCAGTCTTTTGGCCGCTGGCAGGTCGACCACCTCGTCGGTATTCAAACCTAATCTCTTAGCCTTGCTGAGCAAGAACTTGAGACGACGCGATGCCTTCTCGCAAGACATCCTCGATGATCTCTTCTACTGTAGCCTTCGAATTTTCTCCAATTACGTTCCTCCGCTATTCGTCATTGTATTTAAACAGCTCCACGAATTACCAATTCCTCTGACATTTACAATATTTTTCTGTTATTTACTTGTCCTCTCGTTCTGTTCTCTTTCCGTTGAAAAATACTCCTTTGTCAATGTGGACTGGATTTTTGAAAGATCTTGTCAACTAGCTGTTACCGAGGAAGAGGCTGTTGCAAGAATTTTAACTGTTGTCTACGTCTTGCATCGTGTATTTTGATTTGAATCGATCTAAGTTCACCGTTCGAAGATCGGCACAGTGGCGCACTCTAGTGGTATCTTGTACAGTTAATTCATGGGTAGCTCACAACCTGGCAATGGTGTATATATCTTCCTGATTATACGAGGCATGGATGGCATCGTGAATTTTCTCTATTCTCTGTACAACGCTGTGAACAGAGCAGAAAAAAGTTCTTGAGTAATTTTCTTGGCGAAGAATCAAGCGATGACATTGTAATAATTGAAATTAGGTTAGAATTAAGTTATCAATGGACGATTACAATATGCTCAAACGCACAGGGTACTGTGGCGAAGTTAACAGTTCCAAAAATTGCAGTATTCGTCACAGTATCGAATTAATTTTCCGAATAAGTTGTTAACACGATCCGTTCCACGTGTACCATTTTTGGAGGCCACGTGCACCATTTTTGGAGGCCACGTGTACCATATTTATTTTAATGCGCTGAAAACATGTTTCATGACAGACTTAATTCCATAAAATATATTTTCACTGAAAGAATGAGGACTTGCGAATATGCGTCCTCAAGCTCACCGTTATGATGGGGGATATGAGCAATCGCAATACTATCAGCAATCGATGCAGCCGAGGCCAGAACGTAATCCATGACCTAAAGCGAAGGCGAACTTACTTCCGTCTCGCATAAATAGGGAGAAGGTGTTAGGGTCCACCAAAATCTGAGAATCTGTAAACAACAGCCTCAATACCGAAGAACGATCCATTATTTCGAGAATCGATTCTTTCCGAACCTGGTCAGAATACCAGCGCTTTTGATAACGGTTTTAGTAGACGTGTCAGCGAGGCAAGCTTAAATTATTATGCTGCAGTTCTAGCTTACGCTAGACTACTCAAGGTGTTGAAAAGGTCCGGACGACCAATTTCTTCTGACGAATTTATGGACATTTATGGATTTATGGACATGATTTATGCTGGTAATTATCAAATTCCAGCGCTACTCGGCATGTTCAGATAGTTTGGGAAATTCCGAAATTAATAATAGAGAATTGAGGTTTAGAGCTAAGCTATAGAGCAACGCTACTCGGCATGTATTTAGATAGTTTGGGAAATTCCGAAATTAATAATAGAGAATTGAGGTTTAGAGCTAAGCTATAGAGCTACTATTAGTAAACGCGAAATATTCCATAATAGCGGAAAATTCCACAAATTTGTTCTCAAACAAGTGTGCATGTCAAGAAGTTGTATGTACCTTGTTTTGAGACTAGATTTTTCTTCGAAAACACCGGCAAAGCAACTCGGATTGCAGTGAGGCGAGGTTCGGTTTGGCCTCCGATGATCGGTTTCGCGCACCGTGCATAGTTTCGTCCCGGCGGCTCGTTCTGCGGGAGTACCGCGGCGGAGAAAGGGTTAGCATTGGCTTGGGTGTATGGGCATGATTATCGGTTTGGTGAACTCCAAAGCATTACAAGCCGAGGGTCTTATATTGGGGTCAGAGGAATATTCTAATAACAAACTCGCGGAGCGCCTGTTTTTGCTTTATAGCTTTACAGAAATGGATACGAGTGTTAGAGTGGCAATCGTGCTTCGGTGCCTAGTGGCTTCGGTGCCTAGTGCCTTCGGTGCCTAGTGCCTTCGGTGCCTAGTGCCTTCGGTGCCTAGTGCCTTCGGTGCCTAGTGCCTTCGGTGCCTAGTGCCTTCGGTGCCTAGTGCCTTCGGTGCCTAGTGCCTTCGGTGCCTAGTGCCTTCGGTGCCTAGTGCCTTCGGTTCAGTGTGTTGGTGTGCGTGTAGTGGGAGAGTGAGTTGAAGAGCGTACGCGAGTGGGATAGTCACGTGCTCGTGTATGCCTGGTACTGGTGCTGGAAGTGTGTGACATAAATAAGACCAAAGAATTGACTTTTTTGTTCCTACTATTAATTTAAGTTAATTTTTGTATTTCACATTTATGTAATATTTGGGAAAATAATATTTGAAAAAAGTATATCAATAATTATCAAATACATGTAAAAAAATAAAACCTGGAAAATACAATTTTATTGACATTTTCGACTTATATCTGGGTGAGCTAACTTTCTTTCATAAATAAGGAGTTTTTCGTTTTACTTTCTTTTAATAAATGTTTTTGCTTAATAAGTTGCGGTGCACTTAGTTATTCGAAAACCTAACCTCAAACAACGAGTACATGTGGAAAATGCCTTTCTGCGACAGTAAAACTGAGGACGTGTGCGTTTATGGAGATAAGATGGTAGAGGTTGAGGCAACGCAACCGGGTGAAGTGCTCTGTGCACTGTGCCCATTGAGGAATCGCACAGTTCCTGATAGTTGTCGATGAGAAGAACGAGTATCCACATAGGGCTGGGGCTTCCTAATATATAGTATGAGGCCCGTCGAGATAGATGCTTCTTTCACAAAATGGATTCACAGTAGTTGGACTGGAGTGGCAGGCATGTCGGGTTGCCCTATTTTTAACTCAAAAGTAAAATTGATGTCGATCTATGGGCTAGGCAAGATGGAGAGCTGGAGTTTGGGTGCCACTAGTTCTGCATCGGCTGATAATACTATTATAAGGGCCTTGACGGTGACGGCTCCCGATATTAGACCCGAGGTGGTGCCGGATGCTTTTTCCCGAACCGTTATTTTGGAAGCGATAACGAAGAAATACGATGGTGCTTACACCCACTTTCTGTGCACTGCCTCAACAGGGACTGGAAAAACTATATACTTTACTAAACCCGTAGCGAAAGAGTTAATAAAAAACCGAAGAAGTTTTATACCGATAGAATAATGGCTTTACTACCTATGAAATTGGGAGAAATGGTAGAAAGAGAAGGAAATTTATGTTTGATCGTAATATTCAATGGCAAATCCAAAATATTTAATTGTTTCTCCGTGTATAAAACGGCACTAACTTTTCGGATGATCTAATAGAAGAAATGGTGCGTTTCGATTTAGGCTTGTTAGTGGACTGGTCAGTAAGTCTATATAGCAGGTCCGTACCTTTCTTTTTCCTGTAACATACGTTTAATGTGCCAATAACTGACACCAATATATACAATGTAAACAAACCGAAAAGTATAACGATTAATGGCGGGGGTAATATAATGAGATCGATGAGTCTTGAGTCGAACACTCGTAATCTTAATTCTATAGAATATAGAATTGACAGGAAATATAAGCAGATATTTCACGTGATCCCAAGTATCTTGGGTTTGCCAACATGAAAGCAACTTTTTTTAAAATATCTAAGGAAAAATGTATAAAAACGGCCAGACACTCGTGACCTGCTGTACTTTACGTTTGGACTTTTCTCTCCATTGCGTTTTAAATACTTATTCTTCAGATTGCGTTATATGACACTTTTTGCATTTTGTGTTTTTTAAATTATTTTTATACTTATAATTTGTGTTAAAATTCTGTTAACAATGTCGTCATCTGATTCAAATTCACGAATCTACAAATATTCCAATGTCACCCGCGAGAAAAAGGAAATGCATAAGTAGAAATGAAAAAAGTACGATTATAAGTATTAATAAAGAACAGTTAACTGTTCATTCAGAAAAAGGCACTCGAGGAAATAATAACATTAATATGTATTGCAAGAATTTCCGAAATGTAAAGTTTTTAAATAATCGTATTTACAAATACATCAAATATGATATTGCAGTGGTAGTTGTTCCGTCACGGAGCGAAGACCAGCTCGGCAAACATCGGTTACGGTCCCCCAACGGTCAAATCCCAAATACCCGAATGACAAAAACATCGGAATTTTCTAACATGTCATATATTTATGGCGGTGGGAAAAACGGCGGTCGACCGACGTTGCGCGCACGAATAAGACGGGAAGAGTGGAGGGGAGCAAAACGGGGCCTACGAGGCCGTGGACGCGATAACCGTGCCGAAGGGTCTGCGCAGCTTTCGTATGCCAAGGCGATCTCGATTCACTAGGTCGAAGATAAACATCGCGCACCTCAGCATCGGAGAGCTGCGCGTCCAGCGCGCGGTCTCAAAACTGTCTCAGAACTGTCTCAGAACTGTCTCAGAACTGTCTCAGAACTGTCTCAGAACTGTCTCAGAACTGTCTCAGAACTGTCTCAGAACTGTCTCAGAACTGTCTCAGAACTGTCTCAGAACTGTCTCAGAACTGTCTCAGAACTGTCTCAGAACTGTCTCAGAACTGTCTCAGAACTGTCTCAGAACTGTCTCAGAACTGTCTCAGAACTGTCTCAGAACTGTCTCAGAACTGTCTCAGAACTGTCTCAGAACTGTCTCAGAACTGTCTCAGAACTGTCTCAGAACTGTCTCAGAACTGTCTCAGAACTGTCTCAGAACTGTCTCAGAACTGTCTCAGAACTGTCTCAGAACTGTCTCAGAACTGTCTCAGAACTGTCTCAGAACTGTCTCAGAACTGTCTCAGAACTGTCTCAGAACTGTCTCAGAACTGTCTCAGAACTGTCTCAGAACTGTCTCAGAACTGTCTCAAAACTGTCTCAAAACTGTCTCAAAACTGTCTCCTACTGCAGACCGGTGAAGATGCGGATGGTCGAGGGAGGGGGGGGAGGGAGAGAGAGAGAAAGAGGCAGCTGTGGCCAAGATGCTGGAGGCACTTGGTGGAGAGACTGGCGTCGGAGGCTGTCGTTCATCGAGGCGGTGTGGTGTTGGCCTTGAGCGTTCACATCGCTGATTCCAGCCCGTGAAAAGCATTATGTCCAAGCGTTTTCAAAAACATTCCGATGCTGTTGTGAGTGCAGTTAATGCACAGACAAGTGCGGAAGCGATGCGATATTTGGTACGCGATATTAGCGAACAACCGCCTCGCACACGACTACCAAGGAGTTCCCCAGCTCGTAGAGCGTTTCAACGTAGCGCGTCAACGTGTTGACGATATGCGCAAGATAGAGGTGCAATTATTGACGCCGAACTATCGCGCGCTCTTCGAGAAATGCTCCTTCCGGGAGTTAAGAATGAGCATGCTGCTGCTGAAAGACTAGAGTCTATACATACTTTAAAAGCTATAACCATTTGTATCACTACTCGTAGTATTGGATTTGGGTCCGTTTCAGTTTTCTTATCTACGACTGATTTACGTAATGTTCCAACTAGAAGCAACATCGTTCAGTTTTACAGAGTTTCATTAGCCCTAATTGAATCCAAGATGCAGCAATGTCAAACAGCAGTTTCCATGATCACAGA